AAAATATAGGACCAGCAGGTGGCATAATGGCTATGTCGCTTGCACTCCCATGTAGTCGACCGCGGTTTGAGTCCTGGATCCGGTGACTTAAACTCGAGCCGGGCGCGGCTGCGTGCATGTCCAAGATCCCAAGACGGGAATGGAGGAGAAAGGATTGTGGTGGGCCATACCTGCTGGGGGGTGGTTTCTTGCCTTCTGTCTCTCGGTCTCTCTCTCTCTTTCTGGCGAGTGCACGCACCCTAGAGCAAAAACCTCTCCAAAAAAAAAAAGAAAGAAAGAAAGAAAACTTTAAAAATGGCAATAATAATAATAGCTAAGCCTTTTAAATGGTATGGTTTAGAAATCACAAACAAACCCATATTCCTAAGCAGAGAGAAAGTTATAAAGATTTGCAAAATGCCTATTTTGGAAAGATCATAAACTTACAAAAGAAAGTAAAAAAAAAAATGAAAGCTTTCATGATAGTTTCACTACCACCACCACGCACTCCCTTTGCCAAGGCTCATCTGTCCTCTGGCAGTGACAGCGCCACCTTCTGTTTCTCACTTTCAGCATCAGTTTCTCCCTCATCAAAACATCAAGGTAGATGCATTACTCACACTACATCAAATATTTGGACCAAGATATGTTTCCCTCCAAATTCCTTCTCCAAAGGGCCACTAATGCAAGTCAAACAACTTGACATGTGGTTGGAAACCAAGTAGAAGGCCCTTGTTTCAGAGACAATGGCCAAATCCTCTGAAGAAATGGAGTTTACCTCACTTCACTTTACATCCTCCTTTATTACCTAGGGCTTTAGCAGAGTGACTTTTATGGGAGCACTTGAGTCGCCAAAATAGCTCAGAAATCCTGGGAATGTTTATATGTGAGATGATTATTTTGTCTCCAAGAAACAGGGCAGCACTCACTAAATAATCCCTCTACTCTCCACTTCACTTTTATAGATGTAGATTGCACGACTTAATGTGAGATGCTCATTTGAGTTACTTTTACAAGCTCATTTCCATAAGCACACACATCTGCTCTGCTTCTTTAAAAGAAAAAAAACAGCCCCTTCACACCTCATGTCTTTGCAACGAGTGACTGACCATGTTGGCAAATCTAACATTCCTCTGCCGTCATCTCTCCTGACATCTCTTGGCACCCTGCACAATCAAACAAGGATTTTCCTTCTTGGCTTCTGCGATCCTATCCCCTGAGGTTTCCTCTGGCCCTCTGCTCAATCTTCCTACCCTCTCCAAGGCTCCATCCCAATCTGTGTCTTAAATCTCTCACCGGTAGCGTGGTGATGAGCCTGGCCACTCCTCTGAGCATCAGGCTCACGTATCCAAGTGTGTATGTGAATTTCCATTATCGCGTTTACTTTATGCCTCACATTAAACATGCCAAAACCAGAATTCTTGACTTCACCCCTTATACATTCATAAACCCATTTTTTCTCCAACTTAGAAATGACTACCATATGCCCACATGTTTAAGGAAAAAACCTAGAAGGCATCCTTGATCCCTTTCTAATTTTTATTATCATAAATAAATACTTTTGGTTATTTTTTCCCAACTATATCTAAAATCCATCTACTTTTCTCAGAATTCACTATTACCAGTCTAACCACTGTTATATTACTCCATGGTAGAGACCTTCAAATGGGTTTATTTGCTTCTGTTCTTCCATTCCCAAAATGGCCATACAGCATGATGGTTAAGGAGATTATGAGTTAGTCTCAGCTCAAATCATGGCTCTATCACTCACTTTTTAAAAGCTTGGGCAAGTGGCTTAAAGGCAGTGTTTGGTTTATATGCCGCCTGCAAGTCAGGATGACAACTATCTTTCTCAAAGGGCTGTCAGATCAAGTTAGTTAAGACTCGTGTTAAATGGTGTTTAGAACAGTACTTGGTACTTAGTAAGCACACACTGAATTTTTGTTATCTCATGCTTAATGCATGCCATGGTTTCCATTGCACTTAAGATAAACTGAAAAGATCCTTGGCTTGCAGTCCAGCATGTACAGTTCAGTTTCTGCCTCCCTTCAGCCTCGTCATTCATCATTTTCTTCCCATCAGGCCTCTTGGCCTCCTTTCAGTTACCTCGAGGCACATACTTTTTTCTGTCTTGGAGTTTGAGTACACACATCTTCCCTTTGCCTGGAATTCTTTTCCCTGCTTTGTCGATGATTAGTTCCTTCTCATCTTTTAATTTCAGCTCAAATTCTCTCTTCAGCAGGCTCCTATGACAGTTTGTCTAATGAAGAACTTTCTCTCCTCCTACTTAGTAAGCAAAATAATATCACCCAGTTTAATTAACAGTATATCACAACACAAAATAGCTTCTTCTTCTTCATTTTTTTTTTGGTTAGAGGTTTTTTCCCTAGGGCACATGTGCTCACCAGAGAGAGAGACAGAGATGGTGAGAGAAGAAGTAAGAAATCATCCTCCAGGAAGAATGGCCATGCCGCAGTCCCTTCTCCTTCACTCTCCTCCTGAGATCTTGGGCACACATGCACGTATGCCAGGCATGAGTTTCAAACCACTGGGTCTGAGACTTGAACTACAGTCAGCCATGTGGGAGTCCAGCAACATAACCACTATGCAGTCTGCTGATCCCCAAAATAGCTTCTTCGTGTATTTTTTAACTTCTTTATTAATCGTCTCTACTCGCCACTAGAATATAAACTCTTTGAGGACAAGATACTAATCTTGATCATCATTCCTGGTACAGAATAGGATTCCCTCCGCAGTAATTCTTTGTGGAAAAGATGGGTGGATGGATGAGAGTCTTACACTTCAACATTGGCTACTGGTTAGTGACATACCGTATTGTGTAAAACTGAAGCAAATTCTCTGAGAGCTTTTTAAACTTATGAGTTCTCACTATGAAAGTATGTTAAAGTTAGTCGAAGGGATAGAAGTTCAAAGAAAACACTTCTGTTGAAAACCTAGAACACAAATGATCTGGATGGCATTCATTTTATACGGCTACATGTGTTGAGGTGAGAATACTGGAAACTAGAAAGAGTTTCTCTATTCAAATTTTTGTGGTGTGCTTATTATGGGATATCTTCTTTCTAACAGCTTTCTTTGTCTGTTTTTAATTTGGGCATTCCGAGAATTGCTGATGTTATCTCTTATAGCAAACATAAACAGAAAAATTTAGAAAACAGCTACCCTGTTGTGATAAAAATGGGCACTTTATTAGAAAAACCTGAGTTTGCATCCTGAGACAGTAGCTATGTGACAGTAAAATTCTTAACTTTGCTGAGCCTCAGTTTTCCCAACTATTCCACAAGATATTATTAAAATCATATGATAAGAGACCAGTAGATGGTGGAGTGACTACATTGCTGGATTCCCACATAGCGGTCCACAGTTCGAATGCCGGACCCATGGCTTAAAACACAACAGGTGTGTGTGCGTGCGTGCCCACAAGGGGAGAAGTGGCTGTGGTGTAGCTATCTCCCCTGGGTGGTGATGTCTGTCTCTCTGTCTCTACAGCGAGCACACATACCCTATAGCAAAAATCTCTCTCTAAAAAAAATTATACGATAAAAATTAGTGTTTGCCATATGCTAGATGCTTAATAAATGCTAGTTTTCTTACCTTATTTATATCCTCCTCATGCGTGGAAATGTTGTGTAGTAAGAATTTCACATGGTTCAGATTAAACATGGGTTTAAACTATGCCTTCATCAAACTAATTTTAAAAATGCCAGTGTCTGATGCAATAAGAATAATAGTCTACAGCAGTGTCTGGTACATAGTAGATACTCAATAAATATTTGCTGATTAAATGAATGAGTAGTCAATAAATGCTTCTGTTGTTCGTGAGAATCAACTAGATTTCCATATAGTTTAAAATAATATTTCCTTAAAGCAGCAATGACTTTTCTCCTCAAAGTATGCAACCAAATGTGTTTGAACAGCATCAAACCAAATACCCTATATAAAGGGATTGGTCTTTTTAAATGCTATGATCATATTGATTTTAAATAGGTACTGATTTAAAATCATATATTCTATAAATGAAATATTTTTTTATTTATTAGACAATACTCAAAAAATAGAATAGTACAATGAACTCCCATATGGTCATTATCTACTTTACCCAGATTAAATAATAGGAAGCTATTTCTATATTTACTATGTCTATTTCTTTTTTATTTTTTTCCCTTTGCTGAAGCACTTTTTTTTTGAGAGGTTTTTGCTATAGGGTGCAGGTGCTCACCAGAAAGACAGAGAGAGACAGAGAGACAGAAAGCGAGAAATCACCCCCCCCCCAAGAGGGGTTGGCCACACCACAATCCCCTCCTCCATTCTCCTCTTGGGATCTTGGGCACATAAGCACACAGGCCCAGCGTGAGTTTAAGCCACTGGGTCCGGACTTGAACCATGATTGACTACATGAAAGTCCAATGACATAGCCATTATGCCAGCTGCTGGTCCTTGCTGAAGCATTTTAAAGCAAATTTCCAGATATAATTTTATTTCTACCTACATACATAATCATGCATTACAAAAAACAAACACATTTTCTTATATAATCACAGTGCCATTTTAATTACTAACAATCTAGTTTGTAGGGATAGTAGAGAACATTGAAATAATCCCAAATGTTTCAAAAGTAAGTATCTATTTGAATCCTCATGATATCATTTTTAAAAGAATTATTTAATTTAACTTAATTTATTTAATTTTTAAAATTTGACCAGAGAGAGACAGAGCAAGAGAGAACGAACTAGAGAGAATGTGAGGAAGCAAGCCTCCAGATCTGGGACTTGAACCACAATCAGCCATGTGGAAGTCCAACACCCTTAACCACCATGCCACCTGTTGGTTCCTCTCATGGTATAATTTAAACCAGAAGTCAAACCAAACTTTGTCTAGAAAGCCCAGATAGTAAATATTTTTAGCTTCATTGGCCATACAGTCTCTTTTGCAATTATTCAACTCTGCCATTGTAGCTTGAGAGCCATCATAAACAGTACGTAAAGGACTGGTCATGGCACTGCAGTCTGGTTCAATTCAGCCCCATTCCTGCCTTGTTGGTTGCTAGCCAGACAGCTGCCACAGGAATCTCTTTAGCTCATGGTCTCTGGTTCTCCTGCTCTGGAAATTGGGGATAAGTTTAACTGTGTGCAGAGAGAGAGAGAGAGAGAGAAGAAAGAAGAAAAAAGAGAGAGAGAGAAAGGAAGGAAGAGAAAGAAAGAAAAGAAGAAAGAAAAAGAAAGAGAAAAGAAGAAAGGAAGGAAGAAAAAGAAAGAAGAAAGGAAGAGAAAGAAAGAAAAAAGAAAAGAAGTAAAAAAGGAGGAGGGAGGAAGAAAATTGGTCATGGCTGTGTTTCAATAATACTTTATTTACAGAGGCAGAAGACTGGATTTCACCTATAGACTATAATTTGCCAACCACTGACTTAATTATTCATAGTATATTCATAAAGTGAACATTAGCTTGAAGTCTTGATCATATTTGGGAGCATTTTTTTTTTTTTTGCAAAGATACTTCATAGGTAGTGATGTGTGTTTTAATTCACATTCCTTCAGAAGGTACCTAAAGTCTGTTATCCCACTGCTGGTGATACTAAGAATACTTAGTGGGTACATGTGGGTAAGGTTTGATCACTCCTCTGTGAATTCCTGAGCTTTTGTCTAATACTTTCATCCATTTTATTTGTTGCCTAAATCAATTATTTCATTAGAGGCTGCAAACTAGTAATTTTCTATTTCTATTATTCCATCTACTCTCATTAACCAAAACATTTCCATAACAAAGAACTTCTCATATCAATGAAGAATTTCAGTTACACTGAAATACAGTTTCTATAGGAATAATTTTCTTAATTGACTGAAGGGAATGTGTACTCACCAGAGAGACAGAAAAATAAAATGAAAAGAGGGAGAATAAATAAGCACCCCCAAAGGAGGATGTTCACACTGCGTTTCTTTCTCCTCCATTGGGGCGGGGGGGTGGCTATGCATGCACACTCCCCTGGCATGTTTTTCAAGACAACAGGTTTGGGACTCAAACCATCAAATCAACCATGTGGAATCCAGCAGCCTTAAACCACCATGCCATATGCTGGCTTAGGAATACTTTTTAAAATCAGGTTTTATGCTAATTCCTTCCTTCTTTTGAACTGCCAATTTTCAATATAAAGACTTGGACCCTAGGTCACCTCCGGTGATTTCTAGGGGGTTGAGGAATTTAGCCATTAAACTTTAATTAAAAGACCTTTCTCTTGTCCTTTAGTTTTATATTGTGTATGACTCTGAACTGAAGTTTTCTATAAATATGTATCCAATGGTTATCAGTCATTTTCATTTATTGCTCTTTTGATACTCAAATTATTCCATCTTTGGCCAATGGTATCACTTTTGTGTTGGTTGTGTTAGTCTTTAATAGCTTCTTTCTTCCTTGCCTAACAAATTCCAGGGAAAAATGTTCAATGGCAGAGTAATGAAACTATCTATAGTATATGTTGAAATTTTGATAAAGCAAAAAACAGCAGAAAAGTAAGTCATGTTCATTTTTTTCAAAAGACTAAGTATTCCACTTGTTTTATTTTTTTCTGAATAACACGATTATAGGAAAATATTCCCCTTTTTGTCTTCTTTGGCATAGTCTAGATTTGCCACAATAAGAATTATTGTTTTAATAAAAACTTAAGTTATAATTTTAACAACTTCAGCAGATTTTTAAATCTTACTTAGCAAGTTTCTTTAGTACATTTAAAGTTATTTTTCAAAGTTTTTTAAGTTAAAAATATGTATTTATTATTATTATTATTATTATTATTTTAAACTTGCTACAGGGTACATGGGCTCACCAGAAAGAGAGAGAGAAAAATCCAGCTGCCATGTTTGGGACTCAGACTGTAGTCGTCCATGTGAGAGTCCAGCACCTCAATCACCATGCCACACCTGCTGGCCCCGTAAATGTTATTTCTTACAGTAGTTTAGATAGGCTACTCCTTCTACAGGTTCTCAAAACTGAATACTCTTCCTACTACCCTGACATTGGTATGTTGATAGATTCTAAGGAAATGGACTAGAGCAATAACTACAAAAGAACCTATTAGTATGAGTCAACTTTGTCTCCTTCACTGTAGAAGGTGATCATTTTGCTATGGCTTTGACGAGGGTTGCTTTTCCAAGTTCTTCCAGGGGCCATGCTGGGCCATCTAAATGGGATTTTAAATTGTTGACTCAAAAAGGAAATCATCCCATATTTTCTAGTGGATCACAGTGTGTAAAACAAGTGAAGTGGTCCTGTTTCTTTTCAATAAAGTTGTACCTAACCAGGAAGAATGAAGAAATAAATGTAAAGACTGAACCGTGTAAGATTCTCTCTCTCTCTCTCTCTCTCTCTCTGTGTGTGTGTGTGTGTGTGTATTTTAATGCTGGATTCCTCCCTCTCTAAAAGATGGACAGTTCTCTATGTTCTTTTCCTGAGTCCTTGGAGCAAAGCTTCCCTTATGGCAAAACCACACTGAAATGTACTTATCTGGAAATTTAAAACACCTCACACTTTTTGGATAAATCATAAGATTTCTGTCATATCCTGCCCAGAAATTGTTTCCTTATAGTGTGATATTAGAAAGTTTTTATCTTAGATAATTTCTTTATATTAGCATAACTTATAAAAGCTAGAATTATAAGTATCATGTTTATATACCTATAGATTATACAGGACAAATTTAGCAGTCAGGCTAGCAGCAGGAAATGGAGGGCACACTCTAAGAGTTTAACTGAAGCAGGTTTAATAAATAAAGCTCTTTAAAGGACCAGCAGTTGGCATAATGGCTATGTCGCTGGACTCTCATGTAGTTGACTATGGCTCGAGTCCCGGACCTGGTGGCTTAAACTCATGCCAGGCGCGTGTGCGCGCGTACATGCCCAAGATCCCAAGAGGAGAATGGAGGAGAAGGGATTGCTGCGTGGCCATCCCCCCGGGGCTGTGATTTCTCGCTTTCTGTCTCTCTGTCTCTCTCTTGTCTTTCTGGCTAGCGCGTGCGCCCTATGGCAAAAACCACTCAAAAAATAAATAACTAAAGTTCTTTAAATCTGTTTGGTTCACATGTCATTTAGCATATAATGAGATTAGATATAAACAACCAATGAATGAATATCAGCTTGACTTCACCATTCTTAGACTCTCAAGCTAAACATATCTTACATAATTTTGAAAAGGAGTATTATTGCCATCTGAACTCATGGTCAGCTTCCAGCTGCAGCCTTGAAGAGGAAGAGAAGTGTGAAGGGAAGTTGAGAAGTCCTTCACAAGTCTTGATGAAAGGATAACCCACTTCTTCAGGGCAGCACAGAGGACAACACCTCAGTTGTTGGCACAGGTTCCTGGTCACTCTCCAGCACACAATGCCCAGTGCCTGTGCTGGGCTCTTACTTTACATTATTTAAAGCTTGCTTTTTACGATAGGAAAATTAATGGCCCTGCCCTTTCCAAAACCGGATTCCATTGTTAGCAATGGTCCCATTAGACAAAACAGGCAAATGGCCCAGAGGTCTCTGGAACTCATGGCTTTTCTTGGGTGTAGATTTACTTTGACAGACTTGCTAGTTCACAAGAATTGTGTGTTGTAAGTGTTATTCACACAACACCTTTTGGCTATCTACAAGCTCTATCAGTGTGGGGACCAGGTTCAATGACCACAGACTGGTTGAGTGCCAGGACTTGATCCATATTCCTTTAACCAATGCAAGACTGTGGCTTAATTCTCATTGTTTCCCCCCTCAATGTGAAATGCAATAGTAGACAGTTAAGGGATGTTTTTGTAGTGATTCAGCTGTCATAAGAAGTACCCAAAGTTCAAGATTTTTGTTCATCTTCATCTTGTCATTCATTTTCTGCTCTAGACAAGGCATATATTCCTAGTGAAAAGTCACCCCACCTTTCCTACACTGCCCTCTGTTTAAACAATATCAGTTCCCAACTTTTACCAGGCCCTAACACTTAATCCTTAAATTACTACCTCTGAAAACATAGTGTGTACATGTTCTTTCTTAATTTAACTCCATAAAAATGGTAAAGGAACCAAACAGAACACATTTGCTTTCCATTTATTGAAAGTATCATTTTGATAGCATTTCTTAATACTATTTTCTCAATATTGGAAATTGTTATAAAATTAAACAATTTTAGTCTGAGAATTGTTAACGACTATTTAGGGTGGGCATTCTGAAGCACAGATTTTTGTTTATTTGGGCCATCTCTCTTTCAAGGGAAGTGATTTGTGGAACTGATTCATGAGGAGATCAGTTCAAGGGGAATGGGTAGTTTTGAATGATTAAACCTCATTTACTTGAGTTTATCTGCATTGAGATAGGAGTGAAGAAAGGCCCTCCTGAAGCAATATGCAGACCTGCTGAGCCTTATAAAATGGTTGGGACCTGTCTGTATAATTAGCAGCTTTGCACCTTCAGAGAGGAGCTCAGATTTCTTTGGGTTGAAATATGGGACTTGCAGAGCCAGCAGGTGGTATAGTGGTTAAGGTGCTGGACTCCTGCATGGCTGACCGCAGTTCAGGTCCCAGACCCAGAGGCTAGAAACAAGCCAGGTAAGTGTATGTGTATGCCCAAATCCAGAGAGGAGAATGGAGGAGGAGGGATTGTGGCGTGGCCATTTCTTCTTGGGGGTGATTTCTTGCTGTCTCTGTCTCTCCAGTGAGCACATGTCCCCTATGGCAAAAATCTCACTAAGGAAAAGAAATATGGGATTTGGGGTTGTAAAGGAAAGACAGGGACAATAAGCCATGAAATAGCCAAGTAGTAGCAGCCAACCACAGTTTGAGTCCCAGACAAGGTGGCTTAAAAATAACAATATAGATAAATAAATATATAGTTTTTTAATGAGAGAGAAAGAGAGAGAAGAGAGGGTTTCATCAGTCTGTAATTTGGGGCCAAGAGTTTCTTTAGGAACTCAGGAAGGACTTGACACATTTAAAAGAGCACTAAAGACAGTAGGCAAGAACAGTGTGCTAAAACCGTTCACTTCCAGAGAGGCATCGCGGAGGTCCTGTGCATACTTCTATGCCCAAAGTCAAAAAAGGGCATTAAGAGAAATAAATCACTTTATAAGTGCCAAGTTCACTTTGTTCCAGCAGTTAGAAATATAAAAAATGAAAGGAGAACTAAAAATAAAGCAATGGCAATTCCTTCTTTGATGCATTATAGTCTTAATGATTCAGGTCTATTTCAGTTTCTGTCTTTATTTAGACTATGGGGTTTTAAGGTAGTCTTTGATAAATGGCAAGTTTAGCCTCCTTAATATTGATAAAAAATTTTAAGTTTAAAAGTTACTAGTACTGGAGGGACCAGCAATTGGCATAATGGCTATGTCACTGGACTCCCATGTAGTCAACCTTGGTTCGAGTCCTGGACCCAGTGACTTAAACTCACACCAGGCGCATATGTGTGTGTGCCCAAGATCCCAAGGGGAGAATAGAGGAGAAGGGATTGTGGCGTGGCCATCTCCCCGGGGGTGACTTCTCACTTTCTGTTTCTCTATCTTTCTCTGTCTTTCTGGTGAGCACACATGCCCTATAGCGAAAACATCTCAAAAAAATAAATAAATAAAAGTTACTAGTACTGGGGCCAGCAGGTGGCATGGAGGCATGGAGGCTGAGATGGCTGGATTCCACATGGCTGATTTTGCAAGTTCGAGTTCCAGACCCACCAGTGTGGTTTGCACAAGTGCATGCTTGCCCAAAATCCTGAGAGGAGAATAGGGGAGAAGGGATTGCAGTGTGGCCATCCTCCACCAGGGGGTGATTTCTCTCTCCTCTCTCTCTCTCTCTCTCGCTCTCTCTCTCTCTCTCTCTCTCTCTTTCTCTTGTATTTCTCTGGTGAGCATATGCCCTGTAACAAAACAGAGAAAAAGAAAAGTTATTAGTACTAAATGTCATTATTCTTTTTTTGTCTTAAAATTAGTTACTAAAGTAACTTTGATACTAAAATATCAAAGTATTTTCATATAATAAATGATTATTTAATAATAAATATTTACATCTAATCTGAATAGGCACCCTTTTAAATAATACTGACTTGGCTTTAAATTCCAGTATAATTCTTTTCATCAAAGTTAAGTGAATTAACCAGCCATCATAAGTATGTTAATAAATCTGGAAAACATTTATAGGAGTCAGCAGGATTACTTTCCTTTTGCATAATAAGCATCGACACAAGTCCCTTCATATCATGTATATTAACTTAAAACAGTGACCCTGGTAATAATATGTAACTTGAGACTTAAGGGAACACTGCTAATTTAAATAACATTTTCATTTTACCAGTTTATGCCAGAGAGCAGTATATCTGATTAATGTATTTTGGGTTGGGTATTGTAATAAAATAGGTAATCTCTTTCTGATTTGTTGGACTCCTAAAGCCAGAGGTCTTGTCTATCAAACTTCATTAACCGATTTATGGGCCAAATGACCAATAATTATTCAAGTAATATTTTCCTGATATACACATCTTTGAAGGGGTCACTCTAATGACCCTGAGTTGTTTTGGTGATCTTTATTTTTCTGACCTTGTCCTAAATCCAAGGACATATATGACCCAAAATTATACTACATAAAGTAGTTGAGCAGACATTATCTTCAAGTTTAGATAAATTGAACATTATAGAAATATTTGTGATCAAATAGCTTATAAGAGGGGCCAGGTGGTGGCAGAGTGGTAATGCAGCTGGACCTGGGTGGGAGAAGTCCTGGGTGCAGGTCTGAGACTGTGCATGTTTATGCCTGTGACCTGGGCCAGCTGAGACTGGGAGTGGATTGTGGCATGAGGACCCCTCTCTCTCTCCCTGTTTTTTGTTTTGTTTTGTTTTGTTTCGTTTTGTTTTGTTTTGTTTTTTTATGTCTCTCTGAAGAAATACTGGAATGAGCTTTTTAAAAAAGCCTGTAGGGGTCAGCAGATGGCATAGTGGTTATATCACTGGACTCCCACATGGAGTCCCAGAACCAGTGGCTTGAAAAATCATGCCAGACACATTTGCATGTGTGCCCAAGATCTCAGGAGGAGAATGGAGAAGTAAATGCTGTGTGGCCATCCCTCCCGGGGGGTGATTTCGCACTTTCCCTCTCACTGTCTCTGTCTCTTTCTCTCTCCGGTAAGTGCACACGTCCTTAGGCAGAAACCTCTATAAAAAAAAAAAAAAAAGGCCTATAATGTTTGACATAAAATATTGCCTCAAAATAATTGATATTTTCTTTATTGACATGAGTGGCTGAAATAAGGAAAAATCAAAGGAGAGTCACAAAAACGACTCTCACAGCAACTAACCCAGGGTCTCGTGAGCAGCGTATGTGTGTGAGTGCACACTAACTACATGGTTTCTCTTTGCCATTGTTCGTTTCCTCCTGTCATTAAACACTTAACTGATTCCTGTCTTCTAGATGACACAGGCTGTCCTAGTAGCCAGTCGGTATCTCCCGTGAAGACACCCTCAGATGCTGGAAACAGCCCTATTGGCTTTTGTCCTGGAAGTGATGAAGATTTTACCAGAAAGAAATGCACAATTGGAATGGTTGGTGAGGGAAACATCCAATCAGCTCGCTACAAGAAGGAATCGAAGTCAGGCCTTATAAAGCCAGGTAGGTGTGGTACCCACTCTTCCTGTGCTTATCAGAGGAATATGGCTGCATTGATTCCACGTTTGAAACAAAACACCTGTAGTTTTGGAAGCTACAGGGATCACGAATATTGTACACAGTATCCAGAAACATTTCTAAAGGAGGCGGGAATAGGGAGTAGAATATATTTTATAATGGTTGTTAGCAATTGAGCAAGCATAGTGACAAGTGTACTCATTTTTATAAAGAGATGCTTTTTATAAAGGAACAAAGTTGAAAGAGTATAAGCTGGATGGTCTATCAGACATTTAAACCATGTCGTTTATTCTAGCTTAATTTATACTAAGAAATTACTCAATACCATCTAAAGTGACCACACACTGTGGAGAGAACAGGTTATCTTGATGAAAATCCACAGGGCTGGAAGTACTTGGCTATTTTTTCTTTTAGAGATGAAAATATGAATATGATGTTACATGTGGGTACACATATAAATGTTCAATAGTTAGAAAATTTTAGATGCTCTAAGATGAAATGGAGTTAATTATTGCAATGGATGAAACACCAGGAGTATCACAAACATCAGTTTTTAGACTCTACAATAATGTAAATATTACATAAGTAATGTAATATTTATATCTCAGAAATATCAACAGTATATAAACAAACAGAGTTTTAGAAAAACTAAGGTGATAACTTCAAAGTCAAAGGACCTGAGCTCTGACAAATTCTTTTTTAATATCTGCAGTTACAACATACACATTGGTGAACCTAAAAAGACTGATTAAAGACGTGTACAAATTGTCATTCTTTGTATTTGCCTTCTCATTTTTATTTGGTGATGGTATTATGAGGCGAGAAGCTATGGATGATTTTATTTTCATGGGGCCAAGGCTTAGTCCTCTGACTTCTTGCTTTAGATGCTAGCAACTCTGTCTATTTTTGTTCGTCCTGAATAAGTGATATGCACAGTATATTATAATGGATTATTTTTCATCTTTGGTCAATCAAAGAAAATGCCATTTTGGTTTAGGGCAAAATTTTAACTGTGAGAAAGAAATCCTCTGTCTCCTGGTGGTGACTGATAAATGTCAGTCATGATGAATTTGATAATAGTCCTTTGCTTTAGAATAATATGAAAAATAATTGGAATGATACAAAATGGGGAATAAAGACAAGATAAAAAAGAAAAAGATGGGGTTCATACTGAAGATGTTGGGTATCCTCAATATTTAATAGACAGGAGTTCAAGAATACCTGTGATTAGAGCCAAGAAATAAAACCATTACCTTGCATACCTAAAGACCAGAACTGTTCCCTTCCGTCCCATGCTTAAGTATCTTTTAAAATTTTGTGTTATATTCACATACCAGAAAATTCACCCTTTAAAAGTTTACCATTTCACTGTTTTTCAGTCTATTCAAAGTGTTGTGCAAATATCACCATGATCTAATTTCCAAAATTTATCACCTCCTAAAAGAAACCCCATACCCATTAGCAGTCACTGTCTACTCCCCGCTCTCCCCTGGTCCCTGGAAACCACTAACTGGCTTTCTGCCTTTATGTATTTGCCTCTTCTGGACATCTCTTACAAATGGAATCGTACAAGATGTGATCTTTTGTGTTTGACCTTTCACTTAGAATAATGTTTTCAAGTTTCATCAGTGTGGTATATATCAATACGTGCTTCCTTGTGGCCAATTCCATTTTGTAACATTCCATTGATGTTTTAAAATAGACTTTATTTTTTGAGCAATTTTAGGTTTACAGAAAAATTGACCGAAAAGCATAGAGAGTCCCCACATAACCCATTACGACTGCCATCTCCAGCCTCCCCTGTTATTTGCAGCTTGCCTTGGTGCGGTGATATGCCACATTTTGTTTATCCATTCATCAGTTGATGGATACTTGGGCTGTTTCCACTCTGCACTATTGTGAATAATGGTGCTTTGAACATTTATATACATGTTTTTGTGTGAATGTGTTTTCAGTTCCCCTGTGAAAAACAGCCAATTTCTCCAAATTCTCCTTAACACTAAGTGTTGTCTGTCTTTCTGAGTATAGCCAGTCTAGTGAGCAGGAAATGGAGTCCCACTGTAGTTTTCCTTTCCATTTTTTTGGTAGCTAGCTGATGGCAATGAGTGACTTTTCATGGACTATTTGTGTATCTTCTCTGGAGAAATATCCTCAATTTTCTTTTACCTGGGAGTAACCACCACTGAAATGTGCTTCTCTAACATTTGAGGTGTAAGTGTAAGAGCAAGAGCCCTGTTGGGACCAGCAGATGGTGTAATGGTTATGTCTCTGGACTCCTACATGACTAACCGTGATTCGAGGTCCAAACCCAGAGGTTTGAATTTCACGCTGGGCATGTGTGTGTCCATGCCCAAAATCCCAAGAGGAGAATGGGGGAGAATGAATCGTGGTGTGGCTATCTCCCTGGGGAGTGATTTCTTGCTTTCCGTCTCTGTTTCTCTCTCTCTCTCCCTCAGCAAGCATACGTACCCTCTAGGTAAACAAATAAACAAATTAAGAAACAAAAACAAAAACTCTCTCTTAAAAAAAAGGCAGGAGCCCTGCCATCCTCTTTTGGTATATATTTCTAGCATACAAGCTCTGGTGTGAATTAGGGGATCTGTTGATAATAACAAAGGTAGGCTATGGGATTGAGAAGATAAAATAATGCAGGAAATAATGTCAAAAAAAAAAAACCAGCAGATTTTGTTGTAAAACTACAGTAGGATTTTAATACATCCTGAAATTATTCCATTTTATTATCTCCATACCCCCTAACTCTTTTGCTGGCTAATTCCCAACACATTTTATGATGATGATAATACAAGGAAACAGTGAAAATAGGAGAAAAGTACCAAGAATAAAGTTCAAATGAGAGCTAAGGTTATCATCATCCTTACTTGTTTCAATACTCATAATAAGAATACTCACATATTTTTTTAAAGAATTATTTATTTAACTTTATTTAATCATTCATTTAGTTTTAATTTGGCCAGACACACACACACACACACACACACACACACACACATTGATGGATACTTGGGCTGTTTCCACTCTGCACTATTGTGAATAATGGTGCTTTGAACATTTATATACATGTTTTTGTGTGAATGTGTTTTCAGTTCCCCTGTGAAAAACAGCCAATTTCTCCAAATTCTCCTTAACACTAAGTGTTGTCTGTCTTTCTGAGTATAGCCAGTCTAGTGAGCAGGAAATGGAGTCCCACTGTAGTTTTCCTTTCCATTTTTTTGGTAGCTAGCTGATGGCAATGAGTGACTTTTCATGGACTATTTGTGTATCTTCTCTGGAGAAATATCCTCAATTTTCTTTTACCTGGGAGTAACCACCACTGAAATGTGCTTCTCTAACATTTGAGGTGTAAGTGTAAGAGCAAGAGCCCTGTTGGGACCAGCAGATGGTGTAATGGTTATGTCTCTGGACTCCTACATGACTAACCGTGATTCGAGGTCCAAACCCAGAGGTTTGAATTTCACGCTGGGCATGTGTGTGTCCATGCCCAAAATCCCAAGAGGAGAATGGGGGAGAATGAATCGTGGTGTGGCTATCTCCCTGGGGAGTGATTTCTTGCTTTCCGTCTCTGTTTCTCTCTCTCTCTCCCTCAGCAAGCATACGTACCCTCTAGGTAAACAAATAAACAAATTAAGAAACAAAAACAAAAACTCTCTCTTAAAAAAAAGGCAGGAGCCCTGCCATCCTCTTTTGGTATATATTTCTAGCATACAAGCTCTGGTGTGAATTAGGGGATCTGTTGATAATAACAAAGGTAGGCTATGGGATTGAGAAGATAAAATAATGCAGGAAATAATGTCAAAAAAAAAAAAAACCAGCAGATTTTGTTGTAGAACTACAGTAGGATTTTAATACATCCTGAAATTATTCCATTTTATTATCTCCATACCCCCTAACTCTTTTGCTGGCTAATTCCCAACACATTTTATGATGATGATAATACAAGGAAACAGTGAAAATAGGAGAAAAGTACCAAGAATAAAGTTCAAATGAGAGCTAAGGTTATCATCATCCTTACTTGTTTCAATACTCATAATAAGAATACTCACATATTTTTTTAAAGAATTATTTATTTAACTTTATTTAATCATTCATTTAGTTTTAATTTGGCCAGACACACACACACACACACACACACACACACACACACACACAGAGAGAGAGAGAGAGAGAGAGAGAGAGAGTGTGAGAAAGCAAGCCACCAGGTCTGGAACTCGAACCATGGTCAGCCATTTGGGAGTGTCCAGCATCTTAACCACCACACCATCCTCTGGTCCCCAATAATCATATATTATTCATTATTTACTTAGAATTCTGTGTGCTTCTACAGAATTCATACTGAGCATGTTCCTCATCCTTCAGAAGGTTCTGACTTGCTAAAGGTCCGTATTTCAGAAAAATGTCCACATACACATAAGAGCATGTACTCTTTCAGAGAGCTTGTGGATAGCCTTTATTAAGATTTATGAATTTCTGGGACAGCCCTATAGCCTAGTGGTTAGGGGAGCTGGATTCCATGTGGCCAAGTGAGGTTTGAATCCCAGGTTTGGCAGCTTGAGAAACACACTAGGTCCATGTACATGCATGCTCCAAATCCTGGCAGAATGGAGAAACGGAAGAGAAGGGATCATGGGGTGACTATGCCCTGTTGGAGGGTGCGTCCCCCCCCTCTCTCTCTCTTCCTCCCTCTCTGGTGAGCACATATACCCTCTAGCAATTACAGAAAAGATTTATGAATTATAGTTTATGTCCCTCACCCTTAGACAAAGCCTAAAACCACTTTTGTTAACCGCTTCTGGTTTAATTGCTTAAAGGCATAAATATCACCTAAGCAGCCTTGACCTGGTGGGTCTTTTTATTTCATCATATTTATCAGAGGTTACAGGACCCTTAATGTTTATTGCTTAGTTGCCTAAAACTCCTAATGTCATTCCTGAAAAATTTGCTACACGCTTTTGAATGAGAACCGGTTC